GACCCAGGGGAAACTTCTAGCACCCCTGTAGCCCACCCTCCCCCCCCTACCAAAACCTTGTCATGCAAATCCAAACCAAACATAAAGGCAGCTGAAAAGGTAAGTGGTTTCCCACCCCCTTCTTTAAGGACAGATTCTGAACTCTTCACCCTGCTAAGGCTCCATATCTGGCTAAAGACCACTGACTTTGGGGAAAAAACATCTGCACAGGCAAGTGAAATTAGTGCTCAAGCGAAGGCAATTCTATTTGCACAAACATTTCAGGCACAGTATCAAACAGGTATCGCAAAGTCTAGCCTCTGAAGTCTTTCTAAGACAAACGTTATGAAATGGTCTGTGGTGTCAGCCTGGGACTGAAGTTGCTTAGAAGATTAAGTTTTGTAGTATTTCTGTCCCTTCCTAAACAGTGATCAAACTTGCCTGTTGCTATACTGGAGAAGACTTGAACAGCTCTGAGGGAATCTAGAAAAGCTTCAGTCATGCTGACTAGCGGAGTTTGATATGGAATGGGATCTACTCTGGTTTGGTGCAGCTGAAGGTTACAGAAGTAAACAGCACCAACCACTCAGGGTAACAATGCCTGGGGTGTTCAGAATATGTTCTCAACAACCTTAGGGCAGAATCTTTGCAAGTTCATATTTCATATACGCACAACTTTGGTAACTCCCCACATCATCAGAGAGAAAAATGCCATTTTCAGTTCTCTCCAAACTGTAATGCTGGCTGTATGAAAACAACCCAGGGACAAACAACTCGTTCAAAAGTCTCTTATAAGAGAGACTCATGAATTTTCCATGATCCAATTCCCCAATGAACTATTAAACTCAAATGTGGTTTTTGGCTGAATTTATGTAACAGATTGACATCATCCTGCCTCTAAATATAACTAAATCAAAGCAGATTTCACCATGCAGAAGCACTTCATCAAAATGAAATGCAGCAAAGCAAGTTGTTTTATACTGTATCACATGCAGCCAGATGCATCAACCACAGAATAATTCTGTTAGGTGGACATAAATACTGGTTTTCTGTAAAAGACCGTTCCCCCATTTGCAGAAAGTATAGTTTTAATATCATGCTTTCTTTACTAAAGTGGTGCCATTAAGGGCAGTTACATGCTGTCAAACTTTCTATTACCTTGTCTTTTCCTTTCCTTTTTCATCTTTAGACCTTAGTTTAAACCTGCACCTCAAGACAAATGATGGCAAAGAGGAGAGAATTCTTGCTCTAAGGGAATTCTGCCCTTTGTTTTCAACCTTTAATATTGCTGCCTTATAATATTTCATTTACAAAAACTAAAAAAAGCCCTCTGCAAGATACAAGAAAAAGCAAACGAAGAGTATTGCTGGGCACATGGTCCTTAACTACACAATCATCAACAGCAACCAGTAAAAAGGGAACAGAAAGCATTTAACAGAGGACCCGTGCTATCACCAACACCTTCGGGGCAGTTTCAGTAACAATTACGATAATCAGCGAGGTCTCTCAACTTATGACTTACCTTGGTACTGGCAACCCCAATCTCTGGTCCTGCATTGATATGGACTCCACAATCTGTCTCTCGTGATATGGAGCTGCCAACTGTGTTAGTTATTCCTACGGTTAAGGCTCCTCTCTCTTTGCAGTACCGCAGACCCATCAAGGTATCTGCTGTCTCGCCTGAAAAGACAGGTATTGTCAATGCTGCAGGTCAGTGTCGGTTACTGTCACTGCAGATGTAAAACTGCGGTGATTTCCCTAACAGAATGTCAGAGGTTTGTATTTGCCTGCAAGTCAAAGGAGTTAGTCATTATTTCAGCCCCGGCACACTCTGGTTTAACCCTAAAAAGAAGACAGTGAAATCTAGAAAACACAAAACCTAACAATAGTATTTGGTGTAAGGAAAAGTCAGTATTCTGCTGTAGTTCAAAAAAAAAAAAAAGGCAGTTTAAGTGTATCTTCTTTAACAAAACCAACTTTCTTCCTTTGCCTTAATAAAAATTCACCTGGGGCAGGGTGGGGTGGGAGGAAAACACGTATTAGGGAGTGGAAGTGTTCGGTGGATGCCGTGCATTAAGTTACAACTAGCCTTTTGAGTCCTGCCTCCAGGCTCCTGCCGCTGAAACCCTGAAGCCCACGGAACTGTTTGGCCAGTGGTTCTTACCAACAACACGAGAGCTTGCGAAAGAGGTTACGTCTACAACTTATTACCCCTGTTCAAAATTGTTTGCACTATGCAAACACAAGCTGGCTTAGATCGGACCTCACTTAACGTGTTGATTCAAAAACTCTAAAGAAGCAGAAAAAGTTGGTTTAAATGCACATGGTGGGGCAGAGGGAGGCAACCTTGCACTGATGAGCCCAACAGTGCTGCTTGCCAGCTGAGCTCCAGCGATGGCACTAGAAATCCTGCACGTGTAAGCTGACAATAAATAACAAACCCCTCCCCGTTAGTTTGGTACACTTCTGCTCTGCGTACCGCACTACGTAAAGCAAGTCGTGGAGGGTGGGAAGCTACGTCTAGAAACGTGGATTTATGGGTGGGGGGAACTGGGGTTATTTCAGCTCAGTATTTACTTTGGTTTTGTATTGCCCGATAGGCAAGCTCAGGTTCCAGGAAAATCTTTGTTAGCTTGCCACATCCAACACGTCAGGGGAAAGACACAGCCCCTAGTGTGCCCTCCATTGTGTTCCCTGTTAGATTGGACAGTATTCCAAAAACCCAGGGAAAACTTTAATGTGAGCCACCTGCAAAGAGAGGGTATTCTGAATTACTTGATACTAAGAAGAAAAAAAAACTACTACCAAAAGAGTATTTTAACCTATGGAGAAAAAGTAATGACTAGTTTTAGTATCAAGCTGAAGATCAGTTACGAAAATCTACAATGGTAAATGCAACTAGGAGGGGGAAAAAAAAAAAAGTAGTTTTTGTATTGCAGTTTCCTTGAAAATATTTTGCATGTGATGTACATCGCTTTTTGGTTTTTAATGCTTAAGTTTGTCTTATATCATATTGCATTCCAAGTTGTTGTATTTTTTTGATACTTGCGTGTAATTGTTTAATTCTTTTATGGATCCGATCCACCAAACAGCTTAGTATTTGGTAGTGCTTTAACTAGACAACTAAAACTATTCAAAAGAAACTATTGAGTTGCCTTTACCCAGAGTTCAGCAGCATTTTTTTTAGTCTGTTGATTGACGGAATATTTCTTCACAGAGAGAGGAAACAAAACTGCTGTTACTATATGTAAGACTCACAAAACCCTGCACTGGCATACAGACGGACAGGAGGAGAACTGCTCTATTTTTTCCCCATCTCTACCATGTGCGTGCCAATTTCTTCTCTGGCGCGTACCGCCCGCAATCCTACAGGCAGCACCAGAATTTGGCCCCACTGCCTTTTCCCTCCCGAGCTAACGTTTGCAGGAAGGAGGGGAGCGAGTGGGTGGTAAAGCGAGACCATACCTGACTGGCTGATGAAAAAGCAAACATCATCTCTGAAGACAGGGGTGTTTCTGTCCAAGAAGTCACTGGCTAGTTCAACCATAACAGGTAATTCAGTCAGTTCTTCCAGAACCTGACGGGTCTGGTAAAAGGAGAAGTCAGAAAGTTACATATTACACCATGGTTAAAAAACCCAAGGGTTTGGAGTACAAAAAAGCCTTCTAGTTGACACACACTGGAAAATATTACTATCAAAATACCATGTGAAAATTAGGGCTGGATTATATTTTAATTACTCAGTGTACCCGTACTCAAGTCACACAACTACCCCTGTGAAAAGCGACACTGCTTTTGGCACCACAAAAAGCCTGAGGCCAAGTCCTTCCTCACACGTAGATTGATCTTAAATTTTAAGTCTTGCTTATTATATAACGCTACATATATATAATACAGGGTGTCCTTCTATCAGAGTATAACTTGTATTACTGAAGAACTCGGAAACCACCACCTGTACTCAGGCCAAGCCAGAAACTTGTTTTGGCTAGTCGATGGATTACTGTTAACATTATCTTACAGAGCTAGCCAAGATGAACAAAAATTTTCTTTTCTGGTCCTTGTAAATCAGTGAACATAGCTGTGTTTCGCAGCATTTCTGAGAGAAGCTGAAGGATTCCTCTGCAAAGTTGTGGAGTACGTTATGGGCTGCCAACCTGCAATCTAAAAACGCTTCACCTACAGCCGTCGCACTTTGAGCAACGACTAGGTCAGGGCTTGACAAAACCAAATCGCATGCTGGCTGTACACACGGCCAGCCCTTCTGTAAGGTACAAAGGGAAACCTCTCCGCTGCACTGGGCAGGCACAGAGATCTCTGTAAGCAGGCACCGTTGCTGTCTGCGTGAATAGCAGCGGAGGAAATCCCACCTGGCTCATGGTGCCCCTGCCTTGCTGCAGCATTTGCCTTCTGCTCTTGCGTTGTCTTTTCTCCTGGTAACAGTCTTAAATGAGATCCAGACTGGCCACTTACCGCAACTCCAGCGTGATAACTTGTCCCACAAGCAATAAGGATTAAACGACGACACCTCTGAATCTCCTTGATGTGATCCTTCAACCCACCGAGATTGACTGTAAGCAAAGTTCAGAGAGAACAATCAGGCTGGCCAGGTGGCAGGAATTCTCAAGATTACTGGTGCTAACACACAGTGTGTAACAATCTCCATCAACCACTTTGCAAAAATGAATAAATCACAAAAATTAGTCTTGCCATCAGCGCATGTAATTCTGGAAGCGTTTCCTGTGAGACACGCACGTCATCTTATACCAGTGTGTTTTAATCTCCCCTATCATCACCGACCTCCTCCTCTATAACTATTGTGAATAACTACTAGATACTGAGCTGTCAAAAATAAAGGAAGCTTAATCTCGATTACCAGTGTAGTCATCAAAGTTGACCCTTCCTCTCATTGTATTAACGACAGATTCTGGCTGTTCAAATATTTCCTTCTGCATAAATGAGCTGAAGTTACCTATAAAAGAAAGAAACAAAAGAAATGTGAACACTTTAAATCACCTCCTAGTAATTTACCTTTTTCCTATGTACATAGGGAAAAGCTTGGACCCATCACTAACAGACTGGTTACCAGTCAGAGATTATGAAACTGATACTTCTTTTTCTACCAAAGCATCAGCTTTTCATAAGAGCTGGATTCAAGTTACCGGAAGGGTCAGATCTGGAATGGCAAGCCTGCTAGGGACCAGTCTTGGGCAAAACAGATGCCTTCAAGCAGGAGGCAAAATCCTCAGCCCCACAATTCTTGCCACGACGGTGTTAGCAGAGGGAAAGTCCCATTAGATGCAAGGACAACTTTTTTTCACCACGAGGGTAATAAAGCACAGGAACAGGCGCTCAGACAGGCTGTGCGATTTCTGTCTCTGGAGCTACTCCAAACTCGACTGAACAAGGCCCGTTAACACCCTGATCTGCTTGGTCCTGCTTTTAACCCAGGGACTGGACCAGATGACCTCTTCTTCAACCTGACTTATTCTGTGACTCCAGGAGAGACCTGTGACATCCAAGAGATTTTACCCTTCATAATTTGCTGAAGTTCCATCTGCAGGGTTTGGACGGCACGTCCAGGGTGATCGCCCGCTGTGCGTTTAATCCGGTGGATGGAAAGACGGCCATCGACCACAGCTGCTACATCATCATCTTCAAGGAAAATCACTCTGTTGGTATGCTCAATGACAGCACTATAAAAGCATACACCATTTGCCATAAGACATTATTCTTCACAGAAAGATGAGGGCTACAGCCCTATTTATAATCCAACGTACAGCTTAAGAAAGTTACTCATTTCAATGGAATTTCTTTTAAAATAAGAGCAGTACTGTAAAGTACATTTCCACGCTGCCAATATAACTGGATTTTTTCCACCTACCTCATTATTAATTTCAGTGCCTGCTTTAAGAAGAAACTGTGAATTCCTCAGACAAAGCAGCATGTGCAGCAATGCAATCTAACCATTAGGAGATAGAGAGTGGAAGTCAGGAAGACAGTAATTTGCCCTAGCACACAGGGTGCGCAACTACAGGAGCAGATTCCCTTCTTGGTTCCTCCAGTGATAAGCCATTGTCGCTCCCTGCATCTCATCCTTCCATCTGTAAACCTGGGGACAACTTGGCCACCTGTTAAAGTACTCTGCGATTTGCCTAGAAGCACTCCAATAATTCAGTACTATTGAATACCTTCCCTACCTGCCTTTTACTTGGGGAATGTCAATATTGGAATCACCAGTGGGGTTTAACACCTTTGGTCAGGTTTTAGTCTGTACTTTCTCAGTTGAACAAGGTGGGCTGTACTGAAATAGATCAGCTCCCTGGTTTAGTAGCTTTTGTTCTGACCTTGGGCAAGTCACTGAAAACCTCTGTAAAATCAGAACGCATCAGGGTGTCCTAAGACTCTCCAAAATGCTCTAATGACATAGAGCTGCAGAAGTCAACCATAGTGGTATTTTTATGTTTCTGGAACAAGTATTCATTTCCCTAATATGGAGAAAGCCAAAAGCTCTGGTAAGGCAGCTGTCGAGTTAGTCTTTCCTCCCTCCTGGGATTAAAATAAGCCACCTTTGCTGATAAAGGAATTTCATGTATGGAGAGATCCTTGGAGAATCAACACAATTCTCCTGATAGTTAGCGTCTGTCCTGTTAATTTAGGTCAGTACTCTCGTGTTTCCTATCACTCACCTTGGAATCTTACCAACAGATGTGCTTGAAGAAGGATACCACCGCTATTCCAAAGCCAGTGTCCGTCTCTATAAAAGGAACTCTCATCTAATCTGCCTCCGTCTTTCAGGGCCACACATGGTAACTAGTTAATGTTTGTAAAGTAATGGCCACATGTACGTAATGTACTTTGTCCATAAAGAAACCATAGCCTCCCCATCTCTCGTTCGAGGCCTCAGCTTTAAACCGCATGTTTTTCTAGATGCTAAAAGACACCGAACAACATTACCTAGCATCAGAAGCAAAATAGTACTCCACAGCTTTCTCCTCAACAGGGAAAAGGCAGGTGGTGCTGTCAACACGAGACAGGTTGCAACTTCCCTTCTTGTCTTTACCTACGAGACACAAGGATTAGGTACCGCACATACTGGCAAATCCGGAAGGCAGCTGCAATGTCAGTCTCACCAGCGGTCCCAAGGCACAGTACCAACATGAAGCACTATTTTCATCACTGTGAGCGGTCACAGGAACTTTAAGAGCGACAAAGAAGAGGGCAGCATACTGGCACTCATAATAATATGCCCTTTCGCAGTTTGCTTGTGAGGTTTTTATGTGCTTTTGAATTAAGTCTGCAGTATAATGTTAGCGCAGAGTTTTAAGTTTAGAGGAAAGTATCAGTAAAAATTCAAATGAAAATTTATGCAGCCTCACTAGGAAAAGAGAATTCAAGCTGCTTTATGAGCAGGCACCATTTACCAACATTTTCCTGGTTGAATCTGCCCTGTTTATCATTTTAAGTTTCTCCTGTGCTCCTGTTTCACTTAACTTTCCTGAGGCTTTGAGAAATCAAGCAGGATTGCTGCTGCTTTGTCAGTTATTCTCAGCACTGGGGAAATTCTTCCAGAGCTGCCACCTGGGCAGCCACACCGTTCCACAGAGCACTGGCAGATGTAACCCAAACCTACTTTTGTCTGGCTGAGCTAATGCGTTCAGACACAGATCAGGAAATCCATGATTAAGTACTCGGTGTTGTTCCTGAGTGATCAAATACAACCACCTCATCCTGATCCAAAAATTGTACAGCTGGTAAACTGCTACAGGTCTTACTCTACTGCCAGGGAAGTATCTAGGTGTACCGCAGGACATCGGAGTAAGAGTCAGCTTCTGAAAAACTCATACTAAGCCTTTAGAAAAGTTCAGCATTTCACCAAGGATCCTTTCTGAAGTACTCTGGCAATTCCCAATACTCTCTAATCTTCCGCCTCCTCTTTAACTGCAGAAAATACTTCTCAGTGGCAAAGCTCATCAGGAATGCAGATGAGGACCGAAACACCTACTGCTCAAACAAAATGATTTGCCAGTCATTGCACATGCTAAGGGGTGGGGGTGGATTAATCAGCTTATCTAGCAAAACGTGACTGTTGCCGGAGAATAACAACATTGAAGTTTCTCTATTATATATTTATTCCATAAGCTGTAATGTTGTGTTTCACCAATCTGATTCAGTGATGTACGTAGAGCTCGTGATGTTTAGAGTTATACTTCTGTAAATGAAAACGTAAAGAAGAAAATACTGCTTTCATGTTGATACTCAATCAGAAGGTTCCACTCAGCCAACAATTTAGAGCCCTCCACTTCAGTTATTAAGTCAGTAAATGAGGAAAAGAACTCCCTTGTTGAGTTAAGCCAGGACAGACTGATTTGTTGTTGAGAAGGGACAGAGCAAAAGTGTTAGTGGCCGTTCCCCAACAGAAGCACCCATACTTGATCAAAACATGCAGATTTGGTTTCTCAGAATACAACATTTCCCTGCATTGACTTTATTATGTTGCATTGCTTTCCTGTATTACAGATTCTACACTGAGCTGCAACTGGAACGTGTTCTTCCTGTGCACATACCCATGCACTGTATGTATATCTTACCAAGGACTGGTTGAAATGTTACAGTAAGTATTATCAGCCAATTATGGTCGGTTTGTATCTATGGATTTGTCCATAGATTGTTCATTTACCTATGGACAACCCCGACTGTTGCTCTACAGCATCTACCTCCCATTTACTAGAATTTAGAAGCAACAGAAATCATCTTTTAATCTTTTCCCTTCTAAATCAAAGAATGGAGACATCACGGAGAATTAACACAGGTATACTAAAAACCAGGCAGGGGGTTAAGGGGGTGATATGTTTTGGGTATATTTTGATACCACCTCACTCTCCACAATGACAATCCTAAGCACATGGCTGTTCTACAAAGGCACTACACTGCTTACTTGAGCAGCATTAGAGTTTGGATTTCTGTACAAGGTGTTCTCAGAGGATGGCATTACACAGCTAATGAACCAATGATTATAGTCGAAGATTCTCCAATCCATACATTTCATATGGTCCATTTTTCAGAAGAGCCCTAGCGCCCTGTGGTCCTTAAAACCCCTGGGAATTAACCTGACTTCAGACTTTTACTCTAAACACTTCACATTGACTTAAGAGACACATGTTTGGTAGAAAGAAACAAAACCTCACCTAACATTTGGGTTCAGGTAAACCAGCTCCTGACAGGGAACAAGCACAGTTCACCTTTCAACAAACTGAGGTTTGTTTCTCCTCTGGCAAAAGCCCAGGTTTCACCGCCTGAGCTGTCAGTGCCCGAGGCTGCTGTCTGCTGAAGGTGGAATCACATTTATTTACAGCAGCTAAGAATCCCATCCTCTCCTCTTATAGAAAAGCACTCTCCTGCTTCAGATGTGAACTTGGTTCATCACATCACATCACATATAATGGGTCAGCCTTTGAAAAAAAATTAAGTGCTTAATGTGAATTAAAAATGGTTCGCCTTGATATACCAGCAAAGGGAAGTTCGCCTTGATATACCAGCCTCAGCTCAACCTTACTGCTTCTACCAGAAGATGCAACTCAGATTCACACTTCAGTCAGGAGGGAGGACGCAGCTCTTTGACAAGCTGAACTCTGGAGGGAATTCTGGAGAATGTGTGCATTAGGAAACCCTCCTAACAGGGTTGCACTATTGTTTTGTGGGGGTTTTTTAAGGTAACTTACTATTTCCTTCTGTCATCAGAGCTGCAGGGAGCATGCAGCACAACCTGCACTAAGTCATCAGTTTTGCACATATGCTGAGCATTACATCAGAATATTTGAAATGGGGTGGGTGGACTGGGGATGTTGCTGTGTGTTGCTCATGGGGGTTCTGATGAAGAAGGAATTCTGATTATCCCATTCGTTTCACTATACTACACAGAAAGCAATAACCACATATTAAAGAGACAATGCATATTTGTCGCATTTATGATTCCTTTCCTAAGGAACTGGAGGATTTTCTGAAATGTCAAGTATTAGATTTTCTCTGGTAGGCACCTTCCTCCATTTTTATGGATATTCCATCAAAAGAATGATCCATAGATTGTACAGCTGAAAGTGTAATTGGAAAAAACAAAACAAACTTCAGATCATCAGTGAAAAAAAAAAAAAGTGTTACATACATACAGTGAGGATTACTGCTAATTATCCAGCATCAACCAAGAATAAACAGACAAAGAACTGGGACTGGTTCTTCATGTTACATCATAGCAGGGTATCATTAGCAACACCGTTAGGAAGCAGTGAGTCCTTTTGATCACTGCAGTGCTGAGAGAACTAGTCCAGTGGCCAGAGACTGAAGGGGTTCAGACTCCTCTGACAACGGTAAATTACAGGATAATTCTTAGCCGCTTCTCATTTTCAAGGGTGCAACTACGTGTCTACAGTAAAACATGGGTGCGAGAGACAGACGGACAGACAACATAGATACAGATTGCGGCACAGAGTGTAACAGCATTCTGCTTTTTAACAATGATGTCGGAGGGTGGGGAAAGGTCTGTGATAGTGAAAAGCCTGTAGCCTGCAAAGCATGGTCACGTTTGGTCTTGAAAACAACTGAGTCCATGAATGCCAACATGCCACACACAATATATAAACTTAAGTATCTAAACTTAACTTATATATATACGCTTAACCATACTGTTAACTTTACCGAACTGTTCTATTCTGCTGCATTAAGATGTGTTTTCCTTGCAACCACTGGACATTAAAGTTTTGATTATAAAACCAGAGACAAACTTGAAGGATATGGTGGCATAGCACATGGTTAAAAAACTTTAAAAAAAAACCCCACCTCTTTTTAATAATGGTTTAATTTACAGATAAAAGTTTCAAAGCGTAGTATGTATTCCAGAGCACACAACTGTGTGTGAAGTTCTACGCTTGTACATCGGTCTGAGCGTGCCTAGAAGGTGGCTGCCCTGGGGAAGGGGGTGCTCACACTTACCTGTCCGGTAGAGTATGGGGATGTGGTCGGTGGAAAGCTTGTGTTCACTGCGCACTCCGATTAGCAGGGGGCTGCCTCGCCTGCAAGAGGACATCGAGTTACAACCCTCGGCGCCCAGAGATTCATTACGCTGACAGCCGGCCTGAAGGGACCGTTATTCTCCAGCACAGCAACTGAACGGAACTAATAAAGAGTGAGCTCCTCCCAGATAAGTTGTTAGTGCCGCAAACATGGGAGGCCGCAGGACAGAGCGAAAGAATCTCAGAATAAACACAACGCAAGGACGTGAGGAATCTGTCTCAAGTTTAACATAAACTCTGCAGGGGTAACTGAAATCCCACGGACACTTCAACCAGGAGCGCACTGGCTGTTCTTACTGTACGTAACTACAGACAAGTCATTGGAAGTGAAATTCAAACCCAACTGATGCCGACATTTACAAGTGGAGTAGAAAACCTGAACTCCACGCTGGCCCAACTTCAAGTCAAATGGAGGACTTGTCCAAATGCTGCCACAAACACAAAGACAGAGAGAAAACCATCTCCTTTCAAAGCTCTCACCACCACAGTCTACAAAAGTTGAGATACAGCTGTTCGCTAAAAGATTTTCAAAACATTTTTTGGGAATTTTCTGTTATGACAGATGGAAAACAAGAGAAAGAAAATGAAAAAACCACCACCCTCACCACAGCATATACAGTGCGATGAGAAAAACCTCTACTCCATCGTCTTCTAACTCGGGGGAACAAAAAAAAAAGTGATATACAGGGCACAAGAAGAACGCTCTTTCCCATGACAATACTTACCTGGTACCGACTGCTTGACCAGGATAATGAACACTTTTGAAGACAAGGGCGAAAGCACCTTCCTGGAACAAGAGAAATACAAACTGGTTATCCCTTCATCGGAGGTCTGAGCTGCCATTTCAGGGTTCCCAGCATGTAACCTGCACCCATGTTTCTGCAAACAAGTAAGAGAGACTGAGCAGGTGGCTTCACAGCCAGCAGAAGCTCCAGGCACCTCATTCTGGAAAGGTGTCCCTCCCTGAGCCCTGGTAGCTCCTCAACCACTTCACGACTCTTCTGACCTCCCAGACACACACTGCGCTCGGACATCACTGGCTCCCCACGCGAGTGCTCCTGTGTTAGCTCAGCGTGCGGCAAGGGGACTTGCAAAGGCACAGGCCTGGTAAAAGAAGCACCAAAACTTTGGGGTGTTTGCTCCGGTGTGGTGCCACCAAACGTACAGATGAGCCACCGCAATCTACCAGCAAAACGTGTTCTTGGTCTGTTGCTACTACAGCTGCTGCCAGGCAAATCACTGCAACACCGTCTCCTGAACAACGCGCTCTGGGACGAGAGGTAAATTGCGGATGGATCCTGTTCTGAACCAGGTGCTGTGTGGGGAAGTTCCCACAAGGGGTCAGCAGCTCTTCCAGATGGAGGGGTCGGGAAGATCGGGAGCAGGGGGTGCTTTTCACTCCCACCCCCTGCACACACCAAGGACTGGCTGCCTCAAGGTGCTGTTGCACCCCAAAATGTAGACATTTTTCACACGAGTGATGGCTCTAGAAAAACGAATGTATGTCTGAGGTAGGAAAGAGGTAGGAAAGACAAAACCACTCGTTAGCGCATGCCGCAGAACGTCCTGTAGCACAGTCCGGCACGGGGCAACGCCAGCCAGGTTACCCTGGGCTAGAAAAATGTATGTATGTATGTCTCAGAATGTATGTCTGAGATGAACTGTCAAGAGGTAGGAAAGACAAAACCACTTGTTAGCGCATGCCGCAGAACGTCCTGTAGCACAGTCTGGCACGGGCACGGGGCAACGCCAGCCAGGTTACCCTGGGCAATTCTGGAGTGCTGCTGTTCTTTTCTGCGTCTGCCCATTTGGTGTGTGTCCCCCCCGTCTGTCCCCGGGTCCCCACCCCACACCCAGCTCCCAGCATTACCAGCTGCTGGATGACCCTCTCCACCAGGGTGGTGAAGCTGATGTCGTCACTGTCGCGGTTGTCGTACATGTACTTGACCAGTTTGGCGATGCTCTCTGTGTCCGTCTCTGACTCGAAGTCGTAGCCTTTGCTCTCCTGCAGTGACAGCACACGTTGGGCAACTGGCCTTCTGCCTTTCCTTCCCGACTTGCTCTTCCTTTTCTTTCCAGCCCTCCTTTTCCTTCCTTGTCTCCTTTTCTCTTTTGCTTTTCCCTCCCTTTCCCTCCTCCCCTCTTCCTTCATTCCTGCCTTTCCTTTTTATTCCTGCCTTTCCTTTTTTCTTTTTCCTTCCCTTTTTATCATGTCTTTACTTTTCTTCCTCCCTACCCTTCCTTTTTCCATCCTTTTTGCCTTTCCTTTTTTCTTCCTCCATACTTCGCTTTCTTTCCTCTTTTCCTGCCTTTTCTTCTTCTTTCCTGCCTTTCCTTGCTTCATCCTTCCCTACTGCATTTCCTCTTCCTTTTTTCCTTCCTCTCTCCCTTCTTCCATTCCTTCTTTACCTTTCCTTTTCCCATCCTTCCTTCCTTCTTCCTTGCTTTCATTCTTTCCTGCCTTTTCCTTTTCATACTTTCATCCTTTCCACCTCTCTTCCTTCTTTCCTGCTTTTCTCCTTTCAGCCTTACCTCTCTTCCTATCCTTTCCTATTTTCCTTCTGTCCTGACTTTTCCCTCTTCCTTCTTTCTTGCCTTTTCTTTTTATCCTTTTTTCCTTTCTTCCTCCATAATTTCCTTTCATGCTTTCCTTTTTTCTTTCCTTCCTGATGCCTTTCCTGCATTTCCCCTTTTTTCTTTCCTCCTGCCTTTTTCTTCTTTCCTTTTTTCAGTCCATTTCCTCTTCCTTCTTTCCTTTCAACTTCCTTTCCTTTTTTCCTCTTCCTTCCTTCTTCCTCTGTCCTGACTTTCCCTTTCTTCCCTTTCTCCTACTTTCCTCGTTTCCTTTTTCCTTCCCTCTTTCCTGCCTTCCTTCCTGGCCTTCCTTTCTCTTCACCCATCCCTCTTTCTTTCCTTCCTTTCCCCCTTCATTTTCTCCTCCTTTTCCTCCATTTCCTCTTTTTTATTCTTTCCTGCCCTTTCCTTCCTCCCATGTCATCTTCCCTACCTTTCCCATTTTCCTTCCTTCTTCCCTTCCTTTTTCCTTCCCTTTCCTCCATTTCCTTGCCCTCCTTTTCATTTCCTTTCCCCTTCATCTCTTCTTCCTTTTTCCTCCCATCTTTCCTTTCTTCTCCATCCACACCTCCTTCCCACTCCGTCAGCGCAAGGGAGGGAGCAGCAGAGCACAGGAGTGAGGGTGAAGGTGAGCGCACCCGTGAGGAGACGAGTAAGTGCAAATGGAAGAGTGTGCGAGCGGGGCAGTGAGAGTGCATGTGAGTGCACACGCAATAGTGCAAGTGGGGGAGCGAATGTGAGTGTGCACGTACATGGAAAAGTCTGAGTACGGGAGCATGTGAGTAGCGAGTCTGCATTAGAGTGTGCGCACAAGTGAAGTGAGTGTGGATTGAGTTGTGAGAACATGAGTGTGACTGGGGGAAGTCAGTTTAAGTGTGAGCGGGGGAGTGGGCTGGAGTGCAAATGTAGAGCGCGTGTACGTGTGAGTGCTCCTGAGTGTGAGCTGAGAGTGTGAGAGTGACTATGAATGGGGGAATGAGCGTGGGTGGGGGGTGAGCATGAGCCGGGGATGACCAAGTGTGAGGGGCAGTGGGGAGTAAGAGAGCAGGAGTGGAAGGAAGAACGAGGGAGTGTGAATGGAGGTGAGCATAAGAGTAAGGAAGTGTAAGTGAGAATACAAGTGGAGGAGTGAGTGGCAGAGTGAGTAGGAGTGTGAGTGGGGCAATGGGGGAGGGAGGTGGGAGTGTGGAGGAGTGTGAGAGGTGAGTGTGAGTAGGGAACTGTGGGAATGAGTGAGAGATTGAAGAGTGTGAGTAGGGTTGTGAATATGAGTGGGGGAGAGTGAGTGTGAGTAGGGGAGTGAGCATGAGGAATATGAGGGGTGGTGTGTGAGTGAGAGTGGGGGGAGTGAGTGGGACAGTGTGTGAACAGGGCAAGTGCGTGGGAGAATCTGGGGAAATGAGGAGGGGTGGGAGGGTGAGTGGGGGAACGAAGAGTGAGTGTGAGGTGAGAGAGGCGTGTGAGCTGAGGAGTGTGTGCCTGAGTGGGAGAATGAGTGAGGGAATGAAGAGGTTGAGTGACTGGAGGAGTGTGAGTGGAAGGGTAAACGGGGAGTAAGTGCGAGAATATGAGTGGGAGGGAGGGAGGGAAGGAGGGAGAGTAAGAGGAGTGGGGGTGCAAGTGGGACAGTTGAGTGTGAATAGGGGAGTGTGAGTGAGTGTGGGGAATGGGGTAGTGAGTAGGGGAGCGCGGAGTGTTAGCAGGACAGTGAGTGGGAAGTGAGAGTGGGGGGGTGTGAGTGGGAGAGTGTGATTAGTGAATTGAGTGGGAGAATGTGAGTGGGAGAGTCTGAGTGAGTGGGGAAGTGTGAGTGAGAGTATGAGTGGGAAAGTGAGTGTGGGGGTGAATGGGGGAGTGTGTGAGACTGAGTGGGAAATGGGGCCAGTGAGTGGGGAGTAATGGGGGAATGAGGAGTGTGGTGAGGGGGGAGGGTGAGTCAGAGGAGTGTGTGAGTGGGAGAGAGTGGGAGTTAAGGAGTGTGAATATTGAGTGGGGGAGTGAGGAGGTGAGTGAGAGGGACAGTAAGGTGAGGTCAGTGGGGGAAGTGCTTGGGAGTGTGAGTGGGGGAGTGAGTGTGAGAATACGAGTGGGGAATGGGGCAGGGAGGGGTGGACTATGAGCGGAGAAGTGAGGAGCAAGAGCAGAGGTGTGGGGGTGTGAGTGCAAGAACATGAGTGGGGGAACAGGTGAGAGGGAAGGAGTGTGAGAGGGGAGTGTGTGTGAAGTGGGAGAGTGAGTCTGTGTGAGGGAGTGGGGGAGAGAGTAAAGGAGTGTGAGAATATGAGTGGAATAATGAAGGGGGGTGTGAGTGGGGGAGTGTGAATACAGGGAGGGAAGGAGGGAGGGACTTTAAGTGGGTGAGTGTGAGTAGGGGAGCATGAGTGGAGGAGAGTGAATGGGAGCAGGGGAGTGTGGAGTGGGAACGTGAGCAAGGGTGAGTATGAGAATATGAGGCAGGGAGTGGAGGGATGATGGGAGTGGGACGAGTGGGGGAGTGTGAGTGGGAAATGAGTGTGAGGATACAAGTGGGGAGTGTGTGAAAGCAGAAGTGAGTGGGAGTGAGGGACCGAGCGTCACACACAGAGATCACTCACCAGGAATTTCCGCAGGTCTTTGTAGTTGGTGATGATGCCGTTGTGGATGACGATGAACTCTGGAGACAGAGGAAAGGCACCGCTCAGCCCCACACCAGCTCCCTGGCCTGGCAGCGGGTGCCCACGGCCCCGTGATAGAGACACAGAGACCACAAAGCTTTATTGTGTGAAAAGCCGTACTGGGCAGAAAGAAGAGTTTCACCTCCTGGTGTGATTTGCTTGCTCTGCCCCATTTGGCGTGGCTGGTAATGGCGGAAGATAATAATGACCTGGGTGGGACTAGGGCTACCAAGACCCCGCAAACCTTCTGGAGGCATTTAAGTGTTTGGCAATTGCTGGAAGCAATTAAACACTGCACTCCTCCTGCCACCTCGTCGGTGCTGCTCCTCGGGTGGCTACGCCAAACACTGACCAAGCTGCACGCTGCAGCAGCACAGAGCAGACCAACCCCTTTCCACACAATAGTGATTATGAAAAAAACATAAATAAATGGGGTGGGGGGGGAAGTAGTATACAAAATTCCATTCCAAAGAATAGCCAGGAAAATTCTTACCAACCGACTTCATTCTGTGTTTGCCTCCTCCTTGCACTGTGCCCATGCACCCACTGGACCTCTGGGCACTAATCCCAACCCTCCTGAGATCATTCACTGCTGTGGACAAACCCCCTGGACAGAAATCCAGGCCAAAACCCCTCTGGCTTCCCAGCAGCCAGGCTCAGCATCACGGTCTGCAACAAACCCCCTGCAGGGCTCCAGCCACCCCTCCCTGCAACACACCGGGCAGCAGCGGCAGCGGCAAGCTCCTCCAGAGCCTTCAAGCCCTGCTGAGGAGCGTGCGGTTCCTCATGCAAACACACTCACCATTGTTTTTATCCGAGCGTTGCGGGTGGCTGTTGATGGGGCTGGGCTCACCGTGGGTAGCCCAGCGGGTATGGGCGATTCCAAGGTGAACATCAAACTCGATGTCGAGGTCCATGTCCTGTTGCTCTGCAGCAGAAGTAGGAGAAGTTTTTAGTACCGAGGGGCTGTCCCTACCCCAAAGTCAACATGGGAGTCTCACCAGGCCTCCGGGATGTGCGAGACAGCAATACTGACCGGGAAACAGAATCAGCAAATCCCACAAAACATCAAGCACATTTTCAGGGAATTCAGAACACAGATGCACACAACCAACCCGCCCCTCCCCTGCATTCCCTGCCCTGCCAAAATAAAAAACAACCTTTAAAAAAGGATCCACCCTTAATTCCGCTCTCAGGAGTGCACCTTGCCATGCTGTCAGCTGCTGTACGCTATTTCTTTGGGATAAACAGCACCCTGCACTGTGAGGTTAACACTAGCATGGGTTAAAAAGAAGTCAAATTCCAACAACACAGCAGCTCTTGAACTAGAGATCTTGGCTCCTCTGAGAAGCATCTTCCCATTCTCACACAGCTTACCTGTATTCCACACCCAACCACTCTGTGTTTCTTTGCGTTGTGCACAGATTTAATGAAGTTAACATTTAAATCGAGGGAACACAAAGAGGCAGAAACAGATGCAGACGACCTCACTCTCTGTGTTCTCATCAATTTGACAGTTACATACATTAGTGCTTTCCTGAAGCCAGCTGCTTAGCCCATTGCTACTCAGACAGACAGCTTTAGTTGGGACAAGCATTATGTATGAAAATTTAAAATTCAATCGGTGAAGTTATTAGAGCATTTCTCTTTTTTTGCGCAAGCCCTAGGTCTCTGATAATTATTTCCCAGTAATTCCCCTCACAGTTTTTTTGGTCTGTTTCCTAAAATGTATTTCAAGTCTATTTTATTTTAATAGGATGTGATTCATTTGTCTTGAGAAATCAGGACTTCTCTGTAACTTCATGACAACATTCAAAGGATCACTGGGTTCTTCACAGCACACGCTGAGTGTTTACATCTCTGGCACTTTAAACACAGTTACTTGGAAATATGGTGTTTCTGGGTAAACCAGGTGATATTCAAACCACACATGACATGAGGAGATTTCAAGGAAAGAGAGCAGGCAAAGAATGAAAGGGAAATACATACTGTGAACCTCTTCGTCCAGAGCCTTCACTTTCCCCTTCTGTTTGATAAGCTGGATTTTGCAAGCATTAGCTTCCCAGTCTTTGTCGTTTCCGCCATCAATCCCCACACCTAAGCACCACCACAGAATACAAAGAAAGTGTGTGAAGTGCAGAAAGTATATTACAGTATTTTATGTCCAAAAATCCTGTGTTTTTTTTTACAGTACCCTTTCTCCCCCCAGCTGACTCTCAAAAGGAAGGCAAGAAACCCCTTAGATTAGAAGTCATCTTTCCCTTTGTCATCTTGTAGGCATTTTTAAAGCCCCAGATAACAGGCACCAACAATGTTCACAGAAATCCATATACTGAAAGTTAATCCAGACCTCTGACCACATGATCAAAGGCACATCCACTTTGTGTTTCAGCTTGCTTCAAAAGCAGAAAACAGTAGAACCCATTCACAAATACACCATGAAAATCACCATTTACATGCCAGAATTCAAAAAAGAGCCACTGTTGCTCAGAGAGAGCTACCTGCAGAATCATAGCCTCTGTACTCCAGCCGCTGGAGCCCTTTGATAAGGGTCTCCAGGATCTCCCGCCTTGTCCGGGGAACATGGTAGTTCAGGTAAGCAAAGATGCCTGTATGGGGAAAAAAGAGCATAATCTTCTAACAAAATCACAGCTGAGGAGACTCTGTATGTGCCATCTACTTAGTACATGCCCTAAGTTAAAAGTCAAACAAGCCTTTGTACCGAGAACTCCCCGCAGGAAGGTACCACCCCATCTGCAGCTTTTCCTTACCCCTCCTGAGGTCCAATGGAGAAGATCTCACTATCGTTTAAGAGATCAAAACCAACCACAAAATGCCAGCATCCTTCCCATGACACTGAAAGCAACTAAACAGGACAAGTCTGGGCGCAATGGGACAAAGAATTTCCACGTGAGGTTGACCTTCACGACAGAATGAGCTGTCAGGAGACGATGCAATGAACAGGAAATTAATCACTCCAGATGAAACGTTCAGGGTTCACCGACATGCTGAATATATCCTTCCTCAAACAGCTTTCTCTAAGTTCCTCCCACAGACTCACTAAGAAAAATATAATCATTTAACTCATGCAAACTAATGGAACTCTTTTTCCTGTGGGTTGCAAAAGAAGGTAAATTGTTTCTTCTATTGTTAAGCAGCAATGAGGACACAAAATTCCTAAATCTCTAATGCCAACTATGGCTCTATTTCAGAAAGATTTCCTTTGGTGCCATCAGGAAGCAGTAGCATAGAAGACATTTACTGGATGCTAGAAATATCTGTACTTGAAATCTACCATTTCACGCTAACATTTTAAAGGAGAAGAATATCTGCGTGGAATAAAAGCAAGACAGGTTTCATACAAATATGTGTTTCATCCATATATGTAAGTGACGGGTACTTCAAGGTTTATAATTTGAGAAACTTTATCAAAACTTCTTGAGGTATGTAAGTGACAGGTACTTCAAGGTTTGTAATTTGAGAAACTTTATCAAAACTTCTTGAGAACGGAATTCAGTCACACACACACAAAACCAAAGTGCTTTTCAAGGCATCCCAAATCTTTCACTTTTTCCTGATAGTACTGCCATACAGCCTGTCTCGCACTTCCCAAATTCTTATTCATGTGAAAAATTTTACTCCCAAGATGACTTTTGGAACACATAGCTTTATGTTTACAGACAGATTATTTTAAAGAACATTTGAAAAACTGCATTCTTAAGCTGTTTTTGTTTTGGAATTAAACTAAATAATGTAAAGCCTTCTGACATCTTAATTTATAAGTAGAAATATGGGCTATTCAGTGTTGATGGATGCACCACATAGCAAAGCACTGAAACATTTGCAAGGGACCTTTTAGCCTAAGCGGGGACAACAAGGTTGTACGCAGCCATATACCATTCTGAGACTCCCCCATTCCTTCTCCCTTGTCCATGGACTTCAGCTGCAGCTCTCAGGACAACTTTGTCATGAGCTTCAACTTCCCACTCCCAAAGCACCAGCATCAGAAGTTACATCTCCCTGCAGTTCTGCTGCGAAAAGAGCACATCTGTCTTGCTTATTTTCTTCCATATTGCTAGAAAAAATTAGATGCACATTCTATTGTTCCTCTTTCTTAAACCATCTAGTTAGATGAAGGAAAAAAAAAAAATAAAAGGAGCTTTTCATTTGATTTCTCTTGCTCCTACCTCCACTTCCCCAAAACCTTTTCTGATAACCACTTGTATCAGGATCAAGTTTCTAAAAATCTGCAGTTGCGTTTCCACTGCTCCCGACATCCCAAAACATGCACACAGGCCTGCTGCTGCCATCTCCTGATGGCATTTGTTCAACTTGAACGCGTGTTTCAGTATCGCCAGGGACAGGGACAGGGCCAGGTCCTCCTTCGCAAACCTCCCAATTCACAGCTAACAACAGATCATGAAACGCTAACAGCAGTTAACCACCTCTGCTGTATTTCAAAAGCCTCCTCTGAAGGATACTTCCCCCACACTCTCAATCACCACCCCACCCCCCCGGGGAAAAAAAAAAAAAGTTTTCCAATTTGATACTTAGCTCACTCCATTTCTAAAAACTGCATTCTTCAGGCAAACAGCAATCTCCCTGTTTACAAGTGAACTGGCTCCAAATAGCTGTCATCCAGGCTGAAGGATGACACATTTCAGCTATATCCTGAATGCCTAAAATCCTTTAAATGACTTCCAGGTCTTACAACAGGAGTACAAAGCAGACTGCTTTGTTAGCAGGCAGCTGGAAAAGCCCCTCTCTCCATATTTACCAGAAACCTCCCAAACAGATGCCCAACGCAGTGGTAACGTTACACATAAAAATAACAAGCATAGAAAATAAAAGCAGAGACAACGAGCACAGAAGATGTTTTTAAAAAGACACGCTGTGTTCCAGCAGTTCCTGACATTTCCCTTCACACCAAAGCCACCTACCACAGCATCCAAAGCAAAGCTACTTCAGAAGAAATAATTATAACCAGCATGAGTAATTACGGAAACATGACCACTGCTTACATTTTTCCAAATTAGCTAAATAATTTCAGAGTTGAAACCTCTCTCAGTATTTGGAAGCACATGCCCTTAAGGGTCCCATTCCCACCCCAACCCTGGAGCCTTACACCTCTTTTTGACGGCGCTGGGCAGCTCCTCGCTCTGGCGATAGCTGGGTCCGTCACCTACAATCCCTGCGTCCCGCCGGGGGCATTCCAGCTATCTCGCCATGGCATAACCAGTCCCACTGGCACACAGCTCCCTAGTTATTCCACCAGCACAGCGCAACACCAAAGGCCACTCAAGTGGGATATGCTCTTTTGAGCAAACGGGGACCGATGACAAGCATTAAGGTGCTCTGGAGTTTGAACATCAGGCTGGCCACAGTGAGACAGCTCCTGGAAGCCCTTCCCAGTGAACAGCGGCAGCGTGAGAGGCACAAGAGCCTCTTTGATGGGAGCACAGAGGAGATCTTTCCTCACTGGCACGCAAAGGGTGAAACAGAGCCACTGCAAAGTTTAGGGAAGGAACTGCGTGCAAAAGGTGTGATATGTACGGGCATATGCCAAGAAGGGAGGAGAAAAGAGGACTGTGGGAAAGGTGGAGGGGAAGCAGTGTAGAACGGGACAGCAAGTTTAATGTAGGTAGTTTGCTCTGCATCTCGGCTGCCCATCAGCAACTCCAGGCCCCTCCGGCCAAGAGCATGCCGGAGGTGTGTGAAGGTAGCGCTCCGCTGCGCCCAAGGGACACCAGGCATCACCCGTGTAACGCTACCAGGCACACGGCAACCGAAAACCCAACTTGCTTCCAGGCTGTGACGCTACATTTAAATGAGGGTATTTTCCATTGAAGTAGACTGGGGGCCCAACGCAGTCATCTCAATGGCCCGGCAGAAAGTGCAGAGCGTGTCCCCACCTAAACACCCGATCAGCACCTCTGTAGCTCATCAAACAGACACAGCCCCGAGGGGCAGGGGGACACCAAAGGAACCCCACAGCATCTCGCTCAAAGTCCCAGTGAAAATCACTTTGCACAGCGCTTCCCACACAGACCCTTGGTGCCCCAGCAAGGCCATTAAAATGAAGTCCCCCATGTGAAAAAAAGTCTAACTCAATAGAAGGGCACAATTATTAGGCAGAAACCTGGCTTCCTGTCATAAAATATTTTGGTAAATATGAATTGATCATTTCAGTCTCCAACCTGCTTCTGGCACGAGGATTACAACTTATTCTGAACCAAAAATACGGTTTAAAACCAGAAGTATTTCCCTCTAGTCAGGGCTGACTTTGGACATCTTTGTTAAATCTGAATCCAAATCAGACAGTGGCTTGAAATGTTATTTTCTCTGCATATTTTAACAAGTTCAGTCACATCTGAACTAAAAAAAAACCCACCACAACCCAACAAACCAAAACTTGATTTCTTGTCATCACAACTGCTAGCAGCATGCAACAAAATGCCGTGTACTGAATGGGCACAAAGTAGAAACCGACTTCCTCCAGGAAGGGATGGCTCATCTGGAATGAGACTGAAAAATGAGCAGTGTTTATTTCTACTTGTACTGTAAACAAACAGAAAACATCTATCTAGAAAGGAGCCAACTTGGCATTTGTCTCAGGCATTGAAAAAATAATCTATTAATTACAGCACAATTATACTAAGATTATTCATGAGGACTGTGAAAAAAAATCTGAATCTAAGACTAAGAATGCCACAAAAAAACTCCAACCATGCAAGGAATTCAGTGCTGCTTATCAGAAAACACAGAGACTATGAAAAGCAAGCCAGCTAAAAGAAATGCAAATACAGTATTAACGATGCAAAATGTGTGAACACACTCTTCAAAAAAGCCGACCAGGAAACCATTGGGAGATTCAGTTTTGATTCCGTTCAGCTTTTAGATCTTGACAGGAAAATAGCTGGAGTGATAATGGAGACACCACTATGAAAATAAAATTCTAGGAACTCACCTGTGATTGACACATTTCACAAATGAGAAGGCAAGTCAGACAAGCAAGTTTAAAACTCACCTTAAAGAAAACAGGAAGAAAAAAAGAAATAAAAATAAATAGAATAATATGTAGAAATTATGCACAATTAAAGTGAAAAATGGGACAGTAACGCCGGTGAAAAGGAACATGAGTCTTCCTAAATGCATGACTTACTAATCTGCAAGCTAAAAATCAAATATTTGGAGGTTTATCACCCATTTATGACATTTGATCATGATGAATTATGTGTAAATAACAGTTTCATTTACTGGAAATATTTTCAAATGCACTTCATTTTCTCCTTTTCAAACATCCCATAATGACGTGATTCTTCATAGCTGGAGAAAGTTTCAATCTGCATTTAGAAAACAGCATTTTTACTGGCTCTACCCTAACTATTGGATTATTCAGGAACACATGAGCAATCACATCTTGTAACCACTTCCATTTTTAAGTACAATTCCATTGCCCTCGACAGAAACACTGATGAGAAAAAAAAGACCCAAAGCATTAAATGTTTGTTACACTTCACTGATCTAAGTGTATTTTTGTAAAATGTTTATTTCTCCCAGCAGCCACCAACACGGGCTCTGCAGGTAAAATTCTGCTCTGGAATTACACCTCGAGCCTTCGGTCCCACCTGCGTAAATGCCTGGTGAGGAACGTGGCTGTGCTGAGTCCAAGGGCACTCAGGTGATACTTATGTCCCAGCATGACACAAAGCCCTGGCCGTTCAAGAGAAGAACCTCTTTTTACCCAAAAGCCGAACAAAGGATCACTTCACCCAGCTACAAAACATAGCCTTCTCCGAGGTGGAACGTGGCAGACATGGGATGGCACACAGCAACTCTACCATGCAGTTTAGACTATAAAAGACCTTCCTTCTAGGCACCAGAGACATGTTTTTCTCCAAATCACAGTACCTTGTTAAAGCCTTGTTCTCTCCCTCCCTGTGCTTATATTGAAATCAATCTACACGATTCAAAAGATGGAAAGATATGAGCTGTACGGATCTTTAC